CCCAAAACCCCAAAACCCCAAAACCCCAAAACCCCAAAACCCCAAAACCCCTTCAACTTACCTCTGAATTGAAGGCTGCATTATTTAAGAAATTAATTTGAAGGATTAGTGAACTTCTTCACAATTTTAGACTTGTTCTGGATCCCCACATGAGGAAGGATATTGCGCAGATACTTCCTCTTCATCTTCTTAACTCTTGAGCTTTTGTAACGCTTGGAAAGAGATCCAGATCTTGATGACCGAGAAGACCTTGATGAACTTTTGTACCTTCTTCGAGAACTACTTCCAGAATGGACTGAATAGCCTCTTGATGGAGTATATTTCCTGCTGAATTTCATCTTTCTCCCAGGAAAAGCAGCCCACATTCCTGCTTTGCTCATTGTCTTCTTGCCATTATAATGACTACGGTTCATTAGTCTCTTTTTCTTAGTTCTTCGCGATTTAGCAAGAATGTTCATGGTAGAGGGAGGGAAAACCTGAGCTTCAGGATCCTGAATTGGAGGTACAATCTCTGCAGTGTTCAACTTCTTTTGTCTCAGAGTTCTGTCTTGATCATCATCTCGATTTTGTTCCTGGGTTAACGACCTTCTGTCCTCTGTGTTCTCAAACTCTCCATCCTTGTGTGAAAAAGTACCTGTTGCAATCTGGAGAGGAGGTACTGGATTACTGATAACAGACTTGTCATTGATAGAATCAGCGACATTGTTTGGGACATCAGGGGTCTTCTCAGGGCTCGAAACAGGGTTAGTTATTTTAGCTGATCCTTTGTCTCCTGTTTCAATAACTTCAACCTTATTTTCTTCTCCAATGCTCTGAGGAATTGTATTACTCATGGCTAAAAAGGCCTGGTTTTCATTTCCAAGCGTTGAGGCTAACTTATCATCGTTATTTTCAGTATTCTGCTCATTTGGCTGATTTTGAATAGTTTTTACAGACTTATTACCTCTCTGCTTTGAATTACTTTTGTTCTTATAACGGGCTTTCCCTTTCTTTGGTTTCTTTGACTTCCTATAAGCATTATTCATTACAAACACAGAAGCATATATAATCATAAATAGGCTTTATCTCAAATGAAAACCCCCTAAGAAATTCCAAAAGGCAGCGTACAAATCAGCTCCAGCAGCTCCAAACCTATTGAGGTTGAACTCTTTCTTCGTCTCTTTAATAAACTCATTGGAAGTATGTGTGGAATTGGTATCTCTATCCTCAGGCATCTGGGTCTCATAAAAACTGACTAATTTCTCATAATGAACTGTAAATTTAGTTTCAAGGTTCTTGTTCTTCTCAACCAGGTTTAGTTCAAGTATATTCATGTACTTATAGATCTTGTTCAAGTGCCGAAACCAAGTCTCTTCGTCAAAAACCTCATCCTTTTTGAATGCGATGATCCTGTCACAGAGCATCTCCAGTATCTTACTCAACATTTTGTTGTAGAAAGGGTCTTTGGGCATTTCACTTTTAAATAAATTAAAATTCTATAAAATTTTGTTAGAAAGGGGTTTTGGGGTTTTGGGGTTTTGGGGTTTTGGGGTTTTGGGG